TCAGAGCAGCATTACAAGAAGAACCAGTATTGAAGATTTGGAGCCAGAGCGCAAAAACACAATTACATCTAAGCATCTAAGCATGGATTCGGAGGAACATTAATAAGCTAAGAACGTCACCTTCTGTATTCTTGGATTTAGGTCGGCGAATGCCTAGCATTAATATCCTTGCCCTGTGGTTTCCCTTAAAAATCAGAATATATAAAAACTGTGTAGAACAAGCTTCGGAATTGAATGTTAGTTAACATTAATACCGTTGTCGGGAGCAGTCATCTAACTAATACCTAAATCATTGCTTACAATTTGTTCAGCATCACTATATGCTAAAATATCTCTTATATCAAACAAGCCGAGTTTAGCGCTCGCAAGTCGCCGATCGCTCGGCGCGTCGCATTTCATTTCGTTCTCTACCGCTGCTAAAATAAATCTTAGAAAAAATGTCTCGACCTTTTCTTTTTCACCATTCACGGCACCGCATTTTTTTCCAGCAATTATAATCGAGATAATTATAACCGTTAATCTTTACAAAAAAAGTCACATTCGATTCGATTGCACTAGACGCTTGACGTGTCTCAATCCTAGACAAGTCGGTTTGCCTGTACTTTAATTGCTCGAAACCGTCTGTACATTATTTGTACGGCTAAGTCACCCAAATTTATTAAGCCACCTCTATCTTCATCCCTGATATCACTAACATTGCTATGTAGCTCTTAACTATCGATAAAGAAAGGGTCTTCTCGAGCAATAAAAGCCATAAGCAATAACCCATAAAAGCTTAACCGGTCTCCGCCAGCAAAAGGTAATACACCTTCAAGCCCAAAAGGGCGTGTGGGATGGATTATGGGTAAATGTCTGCACCACTCAATGGGAATGGGAAACCAGCGGTGCTGCACTAGCGATTGCACCAAAAGCAACTATTAACCCTGCATCCTACAAAGGCTGCTCGGCCTAAAAAAAAGCTAAGGCTATCATGGCCCAAGAGTGCACACCCATTCAGCAGTACATTACTGTAGATACTCTTATGAGAAATAGCGACAGAAGAAGCTAGAGGTGGAAACACATTTCACAAAAAAGTCGTACCTCTAACTCATAGGTTACAACTTAATGTAACCAGATCACCCTAGTGCGGTGCAGTTATTATTATATCTGCTACCCTTAAAGAAGACGTTATCTTTGCCTATACATGAATGGAAAACATAACCCAAGCTTTTGCCTTCATCTCTCATAAACAAAGGTAGCTGAGAGCCATTTCAATCTAGTTTATAACTTTAATTAAACGCGTTACTCGTTGAGTAAAAGGGTACACTAGATTCGTTGAAAATACTTTAACACGTAGAAGGAAGCGTTTCCGAGCGAAGTCGATTGAGCCATGTCCGTTTGTCAGTCCGTCTGTCTGTATGAACGCTGAGATCTTATGATCTATAAGAGGTAGAAAGTTGAGATTAAGTTTATTTCAGCATCATGCCACGCCCACTCTAACGCATAAAAATCACAAAAAACTCGCTGAAATCTCAGGAACTATTAGAGATAGAAAGTTGAAATTTAGAACGTATAATCTTTAGATGCCAGCGCATCTCGTGGTGTTACCATTATTCGGCCACACCCACTCTTAGCTCGAAAGATGGTTTTAGTATTTTGTAGAAAAGATGATATCTCGGTAATTATAAGTGATAGTAAGTTTGGATTAATCATGTAGGTTTTTATGCCCCCAATGCGAATTGTTTTTTCCGACCAAGCCAGGCACGCTCTAACGAAACGAAAAAGCAAAAATGCGAATATCTCGAGAATTATAAGAGCCTGAAAATTGTGCTAAAGAATACGAATTAAAGACATGTCACTGCAACTTGCTCATATATCTTATCCGGCCACGCCCACTCTAACGCCCATAAACCGCGGAAAACTGTGGCGTCCATAATATTATAATGTTCATTTGTATAACATATTTTTGCCAATATCTATCGATTTCCAAAAGATTTTTCAAATCGGATTATTATTTCGCTGTTTATGAAGAAATTTATGTTTTAAGGCCTCACGTGGGCAGTGATGTCACTCAACATGCTTTCTCCGACAATAGGTGGCGCTTTGGGAATTTCTACTAGCAAAATGAACATTTTAAAATTGTGTAAAACAGTAAGCGGTATCTTATAGTCGCGGCACTTGACTATAGCGTTTTCTCTTGCTTTCACTTCACCTTTGACCCCAGCTATTGGCCCATTGATCCACAAAAACTTCCCGACCTTCCGGACTTTGCCATCTTGCACTGGTTTAATCCTAACTCTATCGTCTGTTCTCCGACTACCTATGACAGGACAGCCAGAAGACTCCCAACACAACTTGTGGCAGATGACCATCATAAGAAAGCCATACGGGGGCTGGTGCCGTTCTGATCAGAAGGGATCTGACGCATTTGCTTTACATTTGAAAGAAATACATCCACTGGATCTTCGAATGTAGCACAAGTCGCAATAAAACAGCTGCACCAATGGAATTTAAAATTGTTCCTAATTTGTTAAATTATGTGCTTTATTCTTCTTTCTTTCTTTCTTTATTCTTTTTTAACTGTTTATTTGTTTTTTGTTTAGGTTAAATTTGAAATTTTATATTAGTATTTTGTGAAGGTATTAACATGAAATTTATTTTTTGTCCCTTGTAATTAGGGATGGGTCTTAAATAAAACTTACCTGAATGATCTAAAAAAAATCTGTACTTTAGCTGTACGAACACTTCAGAAATTAGATCAGTGGGCTGAATACGCGCCAGTCATTGCCTCATAAGCTAATAATATGACCACGTTTATAATTGTTACTTAAATGGACGCGTTAGACAACGAACAAAATAAATAAAACTGTTTAGTAATACACCATCTATTAACTTCCATATCTTATAGTAAGGGTGTTATTATTATTTTCTATTTTCTGCCCAATACTTATATAATTGTTCAGTTACATAATTTAATGTTCTAATTGCTTAAACTATAAGGCTATTTTTGGAGTCATTGATTTTTTGTATTGTATTTTTATAGCAGTTACTCGAAGTGTAAAAGGGTGTATTAGATTCGCTGAAAAGTATGTAACAGGTAGAAGGAAGCGTTTCCGACCCGAAGTCGATTGAACCATGTCCGTCTGTCCGTATGTTCTTATGAACGCTGAGACCTCAAGAACTATAAAAGATACAAAGTTGAGATTAACCATGAATATTATCAAGGTCCCTATTCAGTGCAAATTAATTACAGCATCCTGCCACGCCCACTCTAACGCCCGCAAATCGCCAAAATAATCTAAATGTAAGATCGCAGAAATCTCAGAACCTATTAGAGCTAGAAAATTGACGGTTTTCCCATTTTGTAGAAAAGCTTATATCTCGGTAACTATAAGAGATAGAAAGTTCGGATTAAGCATGTACGTTTTTATGATGCCCCAATGCCAGTTAGCCACGCCCACCCTAACTCATACAAAACCCGGAAAACCAAAAATGGAAAAATATCGGGACCTGTAAGAGCTAGAAATTTAGGCTTAGGATGCCACTGCAACTTGCGCAGTCGGCTTGCCGACATGCATAATAGTTTAAGCTTTGTCTTCGGGCCCCGACATGGGCAGACGAATCGATGTAACAGACCGCATGGCCGAAGCTTGATGTGGCTCCGCTGCTGACTCGGAGACGATGCTTAGATTCCTTTGGCACTTGGTTTTTAGTCTCTATTGGTATCCCAATAAAGAGAGGTCGCTCAAAGAAAGTTACTCCGGCGGAAGCCGTCATATTTCTGATTTTGGTTAACGTGCGTTGAGGGCCACTAACAACGAAGGTTGTTCCATCCACCGTATTTCTTAACGACGGCTAGCTGACGCCCCACAGCCAGTCACTTGCAAAAGCACCGCATCCCGGAGCGCCCGCCGCTGACCAAGAAGACGTGGGCCCTGTTACATAATCCGCCGACCTGGTTACACAACCCGCCGGCCATTGCAAGGCGCCACCGAACCTTAACCCCGGACGTTAACCCCGGCACCACGGCGACATAGACGGCAGCGTGGGACCCCCGTTATGTCATAACCTTATAAACACGCTCGTTCCCTATTATGTCCAAGCGGCACATCACCCCGACCCATACAACAAAGCCAACGATCTGCTTATTACGACAATATCCACCACAATGTCGACAACAACAACCACATCAATCATATACCACATCATTTATTACACATCATCATATAAACTAGAAATGTTATACACAGTTAAAAGTCGACATTTATTATGATGGCCGCGGTTTATGGGTGAGGTAGAGTAAGCACGGCTACATGAAAATATCACTTCGAGTTGCGGTGGCTTCTCAAGAATCCTTATAGCTACTGAGATTTAAGCGTTTTTAGCTTTCCGAATAGAAAATAGAAATTAAATACTTAATCCCAACTTTCTCTCATTTATAGTTACCGAGATATCAGACATTCAAAAAAAAGTGATAAATGTCTTTTGAAATTGGTGGCTTAATTTTTATCACTAATAGATCCTGAGATTTCCGAGATAGTGATTTGTAGGTGTTAGAGTGGACGGGGCAGGATGTTGAATAAAACTTGCGCTTGCTCAAGAATCTGAATGATTATTCTCAACTTTGTGCCTTTTATAGTTCCTGAGATCTCAACGTGCATACGGACAGCCGGACTTGGCGCAATCGACTTCGCTAATAATGCTGATCAAGAATATATTATATATATGTCCATATTCCCAGTTAATGTAGCATTCTGGTAATTTGGGAATTCGGGGAATTCCCTGCTTCTGCTTCACTCGTTGATGTTGAGCAAATGCACGGCAGCAGGGGCAGAGACGCTCTGCTGCTGAGTGAGGTCCGATGGTAAGATACCAAGAGTCTTGAGTAAGACAGAGATGGCTGCATACGCTCAACTTGAGTGAGTTTATGTCGTGAGCGCTTATGCTGAGTTAGTTGAACTTGGGTATTCGAACCGATCGGAACTCACTGTGTAACTGCAAGAATCTAGAACAGTATCAGCATGAATAACATACCCTTGCCGCCGACCGACATACCCCCGCCCCCGACATCAGAAGTGGGATCTGCTTTGCCTACTGCACATGCCACCGATCCGTATTTGTCAGCGTTGGAGCTACAAAACCGCAACCTACTGGAAATCATCAAAAACATGCAGACACCAAGGGCACCGCCAGCCGATGGAAAAGCATCATATGTGACTCTTCCAAAATTCTATCCTGACATCACTGGAGCGGATGCTTCCTCTTGGTGTTCAACAGTTGATCTAATTTTGGCGGATAACGTGCTCGAGGGTAGCAACCTGGTGATCGCCCTAAGCAAGGCACTAGAAGGCTGCGCATCTCAGTGGCTTTCCCAAATTTGCTTTGCCGGCATCACTTGGGCGCAGTTCAAGGAGCTGTTTATACAACGCTTTGTTGGAATTGAGACTTCTGCCGCCATGCTATTAAATGTTCTGAATGATCGAAAGCCGAAGGAGGGCTTCGCCGAATACGGCAGCCGTATTGTGACGCTACTTATGTCAAAATGGAAAACCAAGAATTTGCAGAAGATTGCGGTACCAGTACCGTTAGCTCACATGGCTCAAATTGATAATAATTTGTGGCATTGGCTGTTTACAACGAATGTGACGACTCGTAATGAGCTGCAGCAGCAGCTACAGGCTTACGCTTTCAAGAAGCGTAACAACGAGGAGGTCGGATATTCGACGGGTCCGGATAAGAAGAAAACAAGAATGCAGTCGCAGGTGAAGTACCATTTTTGTGGAAAGGTTGGCCACAAATATGCAGAATGCCGCTCTCGAATGGAGAAAGCATCAGCCCCAACAGAAAGGAGTTATAGCGTGAGCAACGCGACCGGAGTGAAGGATCGATCAAAAATTAAATGTTTTAAGTGCTGAGAAAACGGACATGTGGCTTCTGTATGCCCCAAAAATCGTACTGATGCAAGCAGCAAGAGCTACGAGAAGCGAGTTGACGTTTGTACACTGGCTCCACCAAGTGGAACAATTACGTTATCCGGTGAGTCTATTCCATATTGTTTTGATTCTGTAGCCGAATGTTCACTGGTCAAGGAGAGTGTTGCAGATAAATTCAGCGGAAAACGATTTCACAATATTGTAACTTTAAATGGTTCTGAGTAATATTAATATTGAACAATATTGTTTAGAAGTTGTGTTACATGTAGTTATGGACAAGTATTTGAAGCATGACGTGTTGATTGGCCGTGAAGTTTTAAGCCTGGGCTTTGGTGTATCAATTGATGCAGATAAATTTTGCTTTTATAATATAAAAAGAGTAAATGTTCTGAGTCTAGTGAAGTATGAAGAAATCATAAATTCTGATACTAATTTAATTGATTCTGATAAGACGATATTAAACAATATGTTGAGATGTCACTCGGATAGGTTTATTGACGGAACTCCAATGACTCGTGTGACGATAGGTCAATTAGAAATTAGGCTAATAGATCTACAAAAGACCGCACCATAACAAATGGAATTGTTATGGCGGGGGTCAAAGATCGCACCATAGCAGAAGGACTTGCTGTGGTGGGGGTCAGTGATGATCGCACCATGACAGAAGGATTTGTCATGGCGGGGATCGGTAATAATAACTGCATGTCGTAGAATGGTAAATTAGCCCACTGTATAAGTGTGGCAAAGAATGGTGCAGGTGCAGAATTGTGCAGGCATCATCAGCAGTCCAGAAAAAGAGATATACTCAGCTGCTGAGTAAGGTCTGTTCGTAGTGGCGTAGAAAAGGGATGGCATTATGATTTGCCAAAACTGTGAATTAGCTTAGAGTGTGCGGATAAAATAATTGAGAAACGAAGAATTCGATGGCCTAAGTGATGGCGATTCCCAGGAGGGGAACGAACTAATAGACGGCGTTAGTAAGCGTGCGTCTGTGTCCCAAGAGGGGAAAGAGCATGAAGACGGCACAAGTGAATGTGCGTCTGTGTCCCAAGAGGGGAATTGAGGACCGCACCAAAACAGCTGTCTCACAGGGATGAGAAGTGTTATGGCAGGGGTCAAGGTGATTGGGTGTAAGTGTGTACATCAAATTAAATTGAGAAACTAAGAGACAAATCTAAGTTGTGTGAAATCTGAATTATTGGAAAATTCTGATTCGAATTGAATGATATGAACAAGATCATCATAAGTTGAAAATTTATTATGTCTGTAAACAGGAGAAAATTGTGTTTCCTAGATAAAAACAAAAAAAAAATTGTCAGTTGGTGTTTGTGTAAGCGGCTCTGTAAGTTTGTAAATTTTAAGAGAAAAATAATGATCAAAATAAAATACCTAAGGAAAATAGTGTTCAGAATAAAATACCTGAGAAACGAATAAATTTGACTGAGGTAACCGACAACTGGTTAATTTCGGAGCAACAGCGAGATAGTGAGATTTTAGATATATCAACTAAATTAAGAAATAATGAATTACCAGATAATTTAGATAAAACCTATGAATTACGAAAATGTATTTTGCATAGGAAAATACAGCGAAATGGCAAAACTAAATGTCTACCGGTAATTCCAAGGTCATTTAGATGGGCAATTATCAATCATGTCCACGAATCAATAATGCATTTGGGATGGGAAAAGACATTAGATAAGGTTTATAGCTATTATTGGTTTGAAAATATGTCAAAATATGTGCGTCGGTTCGTAGAGAATTGTATCACTTGTAAACTATCGAAGCCACCCGTAGGTAAAGTGCAGGCAGAGTTACATTCTATTCCCAAAATAGATATACCGTGGCACACGGTACATATTGACATAACAGGAAAATTGAGTGGTAAAAATGACTTAAAAGAATACGTTATTGTCTTAATAGACGCATTTACAAAATTTGTTTATTTTTACCACACTTTGAAAATAAATACGGAAAGTTGTATTAAGGCCGTAAGATCAGTTGTGTCCTTATTTGGCTTGCCTACCCGAATTATAGCGGATCAAGGTCGTTGTTTTGCAAGTTCAGATTTTCGTGAATTTTGTTCCTCTCAAAAAATTAATTTGCATTTAATTGCCACCGGTGCGAGTAGGGCCAATGGTCAGGTCGAGCGAGTAATGAGTACACTCAAAAGTATGTTGACGGCTGTGGAAACCGGTCAGAGATCGTGGCAGGATGCGTTGGCCGAGGTGCAATTGGCAATGAATTGTACGGCGAATAGAGTAACTAAGTTTAGCCCATTAGAATTGTTAATTGGTAAGGAAGCTAGACCTTTTGGCTTACTACCAATAGATGAAAAAGTTGATGACAAAATAGACAGAGAAAATCTAAGAAAACAAGCCAAACAAAATATGGAAGACGGCGCACGATATGATAAGCGCAGGTTTGATAGTAATAAGGCGAAAATTATTAAACATAGTTTAGGCGATCACGTATTGATTAAGAATGAGGAGCGTCATCAAACTAAGCTTGACCCTAAATTTAAAGGGCCGTTTGAGATTGTCAAAATACTAGATGGAGATAGATATCTGTTAAAGTCCTTAACAAGTAAGCGAACTTACAAATACTCCCATGAATTCTTAAGAGCTTTGCCGAATAATGATCTAATATGCGAAGATAGGGACGGCACGATGGAAGATGCGTCTGACAATCAAGAAAGAGAATCATAACTACACTAAAGATTATTGTAATGTGTTAAAGGAACTACACAAATGTTAGAAAGTGTTAATGGAACTACACTAAAGATTATTGTAATGTGTTAAAGGAACTACACAAATGTTAGAAAGTGTTAAAGGAACTACACTAAAGATTATTGTAATGTGTTAAAGGAACTACACAAATGTTAGAAAGTGTTAAAGGAACTACACTAAAGATTATTGTAATGTGTTAAAGGAACTACACAAATGTTAAAAGAGTTAAAGGAACTACACTAAAAATATTGTAATGTGTTAAGGGAACTACACAAATGTTAAAAAGTGTTAAAGGAACTACACTAATGTTATATTGTAAGATGTGTTACAGGAATTACATAATTGTTAAAATGTGTCAAAGGAAATGCACGAATGTTTTATTTTACAAAAGAGAATAATGTTATAAAGGAATAACTAAATTAATTAATAAGATTATGTTTAAAGAAATGTAATGAATACGGAAGATTTGATATTTATATAAGTGATTTTTATATTGAAAGCTAAACACACGAGGACGTGTGATAGGTCAGGAAGGCCGTGTCGTAGTGCGATTCCCAGTTAATGTAGCATTCTGGTAATTTGGGAATTCGGGGAATTCCCTGCTTCTGCTTCACTCGTTGATGTTGAGCAAATGCACGGCAGCAGGGGCAGAGACGCTCTGCTGCTGAGTGAGGTCCGATGGTAAGATACCAAGAGTCTTGAGTAAGACAGAGATGGCTGCATACGCTCAACTTGAGTGAGTTTATGTCGTGAGCGCTTATGCTGAGTTAGTTGAACTTGGGTATTCGAACCGATCGGAACTCACTGTGTAACTGCAAGAATCTAGAACAGTATCAGCATGAATAACATACCCTTGCCGCCGACCGACATACCCCCGCCCCCGACATATACTTTATAGGGTCGGAAACAGGGTTTGCATTTACTACTCCGAGAGCTGAAGCAAAGCCGTGAAGCAGAGCCAGAACGAAAAATGATCTGCTCTGCTCTGCTCTGATTTGGAGGAGTTGCTAGCAATAGCAGAAAATTTTATTTTGTGCTCTGTGTAGCCGTAGCCGAAAATTGAGAGCGAAATGAGAGCAGAACAAATTAATATTTCTTGTGCTACGCCTATCACGTGAGCTCCACCAGTGCGTTCAAACACAGCGGTATGTACACGTTGAAAGAAAGATGAGCGCAAAACAAAACCAAAAGGAAAACTTTCATAAGTATCCAAAACCATTAACAATTCTATAAGAAAATAGAAAGCGATTTGTCATTCTTGGGATTATGTTAGGGAAACAAATCAGCTCTCATCCACTAAAACTGTGAAACCACCCCCAATTCCGATCTCCTATGTAAACTCAGGCATCAGATTGGCCCAACCATTTCTTTATTACGATTATTAAAAAATTATAGATTTTACCTGTATAATTATGCATTATTTATTGATATTATTGTTAGTCCTTTAAGTAACTAGAGATAATTCTGTAAAGCTCAAAAGTATTTTATTTTGATACTGCTGCCAGTTTGATCTAGCGATAAATTATCTCGGGTTTAATTATGTTGCTCTCTTACTTGTTTGGAAATGCATATGTACGACTAACTGTGCGTTGACGGATTTCAATCAGAAGGCTATCCGTTTTTATCCGATAAAGCCTTTTGTGTAATAAAGTCAGCTGAGCTTCTTGTCTTGTGTGAGGTGTACGCCCTGATACCTTTATTCTTGCTTTTGTGGATAGAGATGTGCTTCTCCAAAGTTTTAAGTCGCAAAAATTTCCTCAGCGAACTTCAGATTCCTCCGAATAATGAGTTCGCCACTAGAAAAAAGAAACAAAAAAGCACCAACGTTGTCGAGAATTATGCATTATCTCGTTTCCGTCTGGTAAAATGTGATAGGATTATTACGCAAACGGCCGTGTTTGGATACATTTGCGTTAATTATCGAGTTCCAATATAGAATGTAATAATTTCTGACAATATTATTCTTGAAGTACCAAGGTGTATGTAATTGGAAAATATGCGTTACGATTTATTAAAGAAAATATATTTATTAAATTCGTTTTGATTAGACAAGTTATTTTTTATTTTGAGTTTACTGGCCTTATGTTAGAAGCCTGAAATTGAACTGACTTAATTCTATTACTTTAATTTATTATGAAGCCTTGGTTTCAAGCTTTACATGTTTGTGTTTTTTTTTAAAAGAACTTTCCTTAACACTAAGCCTAACTCAATTGTATTCAAGCTTACTTCTCTTGAATGCAGGATTTACTCTTTCTGATTGTCCGTAACAAGACTGTTCGGACCTTGATCGGCTGTGGAAAAATTTATTATAATTGTTTAGTCTAGGTAGAGTCTGGTAACAAGACCCTTTTGTTTTCGATCTTACAGTGGGAAAATTTGGGGACTGTAAGTCTGTTTTCAATTTCGGTTTCTAATTCCTTTTGGGAAAGTTTGTTAATTTTCCATGGTCGATCTAGTTTACAATTTTTTCTTATAGATAAAAATAAAGTGAGGTGGCAAGTGAATGTGCAATTACAAATATGTCATTATATAAAATGTTCCAGGGTTGTTCGTTAATAGCGTAATGTTGGTGGTCTTCCTCAGAGTGTTTATATAGGCCAGAAGCTGTCTCAACGGCAGTTACTCTAACTAATACTAAGCTTATACTTCCCATAGGCCGACTCAAACATTGTCCTCATTTATAAATACTAGTAAGTCTTCACTAACGATTCACTGTTTTCCATTTATGGCGTGCGTAAAGCTTCACTATTCACTTTTCCACTCTAAGAGTTTTTTATTTTATGGGCGGCATTTAGGTAAGGTGTAGCTATTAAAGGCTTGCCAATATGAAGAAACCATTTATGAACAAGTTGAAATCTAAGCTAAAACTTTTTCGTTGTGAAAATTATGATATGTAAAACAGGCTGTTTCTTCTTAAAAGGTCGGTCAGAGAGAGACACGCACATATGGCAACACCTACGCAACTAGAATGTACGTTTGCGTTCATGATAATGTTGTACAATTTTCAATGAATTAATTCAATGTCCCAATAAATATAGAACACCATAGGTTCTTACAGTTTTGCCTTTGTTGAATATCAGATATGAATTTAATTTTAAACCTAAGAGCTCGCGCTGCGCTGCCTAGCTTTAAGCTAACCCTTGTCAAATATATTACTACGTTGCAAAGTTGTGCCTAACAATGCTGAAAGATTTCCGGGGGAAAATCAAAATCTTGAAATTCCGGGATATGAAATGTTTCTTGGACTTGTAGGACGACTTATTCTTTAATCACACAGCGATTCCTTCCCTTTAACTAACTAAGATATACATTTTGATTCTTTTAGGTCAATATTTTTTTACGAATTTTGATAAGGTTGGATGTTTTAAAATCTTTGGGTAAACCTAATATTTCATTTCCTGATACAACAATTTCAATGATATTTAGATGTATTACAGATTGGCTTTAAATATGTTTATAAGTCTAACCTGAATTTTTAAATTTAATGAAATTTCGTTACTAAAACCACTGTCTTTGTAAATGGAGTTTGCTAACATGTTTGAGATTCTAGATAAGTTATTGATTCTATCCTGAAGTTGATTGTTAATTATTATTTGGTCATTGTTATTGGTAAATAGATTGTTTAAATTTATTTTGTGATCTGGATAACCTGCGATGTATTTCCAGGCTGATCCAATTAATTCCGTGTTTTTGGTTCTATTATGAGTGTACAACGAGCT